CTATAGCTTTTTGTTATTCGGATATCATCTAGTCCGTTTAAACTTCATTTTGAATTCTAGAGTAGTTGAGCGTTTTCAGAGATTAAGATCAAGGTAGAAATTGAAGAAGTTGACCGGAGATAAACCTAAAGTTGTTGGTTTTAAGTCATTCTGTTGATACCACAGCGTCATTTTGGCATTGAAGGTTTTCTTGGTGTTGATAAACATCGCTTACTTACTCTTACCCAAGTTGTTTTATCCAGTATAGCATTTTGCCAGCGATGTTTCAGGGTTTCTCTTCCAACAGCTATGCAACTCTGTGGGGGCATGGGTATTGAACACCCACTCTCTAATCCTAGCATTTATCCCCCTGTCAATGCGAGCGTTACGATTCCTACTGGATAGGGACCATTCCGATAATTTGTACTGTGGGATCATTTACCATTGTGATTATCTCCCCAAAATATATGTGCGGACGAAAGGCTCTACGAAGAATACGGTTACGTGAGCGAAGGAATTCGCCGTATCATTTCAATATATCTCTAAGAAATCCCGAACGAAGTGATAGAGTTCAAAATCGTTTGTTCAACCGTGTCAAAAGCCTCCTTGACGTCGATGAAGAGGTCACATAAGGGGAACCGGTATTCTCGACGTTTTTCTGTGAGTTGCGGTGCTCGTATTGAGAGTCCGTCAAAAGCTATCAAGGGTGTGGCGTGTGAAAGGTTTTTGAGCACTGTCGATAGAAGCAGTAGAGAGCGATTATCATTTGTAGAAATACGTGATCTTTTTTTCTTGTGACTCAGAATCGTATTATAGTAGAGTCAAATCTGATCTGCTCCTAAGAAAAATCTAAAATCTCCAGTCATTCGGTTCATTCGGCTTCAGCTCACCTCGTTCTCTTCGGATACGCCACGCAGCCGACTTCTATTAAGAGTCGTAGTGACGTTTTGAACGAGTTCTTGGGCTATGCTTAGACTTGCGGTAGTCAGCCTACTACATGTTACTACTTTTGTCCTCCCAAGCAGGCTTATAATAATTAACTTCCTAGAGGGATGGAAGGTTTAATAAGACAGGGTGATTGTCGAACTGGGACTCGGACCATGGATATGCATGTAACAATGCGCCCCTTGCCACAACACCACCATTTCCTGAGGAGAGTAAATATTCTCGCTAATGGATAGTAGGAAACTTATGCGATCATTTCAAGTTTTCTACTCAAGTATGACACTTAGACGGCCCACGTGCTCCTTATCTGCCAATCTGGGAAACAAAATTTTCTGAAGGAGCAATTCGTGCTATCTCCATTTGGAATTTTACTTCAGTATCGCTCAACAAGTATATCCTTCAAAATTCATGTGGTCCAAGGTATCAGTTGTAGAAGTTAGATAAGCATACGAATGTTACTTGATAAAAATCGAACTATAAATTGGATTGGTAAGATGTGAACAGATCACGTACCTGGAGTTGAGATTTGTATGCTTTGAAAATTTTTGCAGAATGGTGGAATACTTAACGCTCGAACAGTTGACGTTATAATTGAGTGTCTCTCTTCACAAACACTTCAATTCACATCAATTTTCGTTGGATGTTTCTTAATAATAGCTAATATGTAGTGGGCAGAGGCTGCTTGTAGTCAACAATTATCGAGGCTTATTCACTTGAATTCATCAATTCACGGAACAGGTATTACAAATATGGGTGATGCTGTAAACAATTAGTTCATGGAAAAGTTTTGATGAGCGTATTCACAAGGGACGTAGAGGAGAGTGGTGGTATGATTGTATAAAAGGTAATGGGTGAATGCTGATCGGGAGTAGTTAAGAATCTCTCAGTTCGCCATAGGATACCCACTCTCTATAGTGTATAAGTGGCTGGGAAAGGATGTAGACAGATCTCGCTAGCTCGATGATTCCTTACACCGTGATCGTGCAAAACTAGGCCGTTGAAGAAAGCTAGTAAAGCTCAGTTGTAAAATTGTTGCCCTTGAAAAGAGATTGGAAGCAGTGACCACGCAATGGGCAGTGATTTCATACAGTAAATGCGCAGTAAGTGCTAATGTTTATTTAATTGGAATGTGTGGCTTATCGTAGTGTGAATAAGGTGATTAACGCCGGCCAATCCTCTTTTATCTCATTGTGGCCTTGAGCTACGGCTAACGAACCGACCCTACAAACTACTGTAACTCTTCCTGCTAGGGCATTTTCGTCCGGATGGGCCGATTGAAAGGATTGCAAGCCTAGGCTTACCAGGAAGAAGTCTCATGAGCTCAAAAGAGTAAACAACTAAATTCCTAGCGTTTTTTTTTCGGAAAAAAGTTCATAGCTTTTTTTTTTGAGGTGCGGCATCTACATCTGTAGCTTATTTGTCTGTGTTCGGTTATTTATTTATATACTTGTTTTGTTGGGTGAATTAGTAAAACATTGCTTAAGCCTTACTAAATAGGATCATTATGCTAAGTCTCTTGCAGGACCTAGTCAGAAAACAAGTACAACAGGGATTTTAAAGACTCCCACAACCCTCACTCCCACGATCCTCATTGATTTCATCAATCCTTTAATATTCATTGGTATACATAGTAGGATTGATTCGAATTGATTGAGATTTTCGAATATAAGTTCCATTAATGTGAAACATTTATTCGCATAAAAATAGAAATAAAAACATTGGAAAACATGTGTTCTGCGAGATGAGGTGGATAACTAGAACTGTTTGTTGTAAACGGAAGTAGGCCAAATCAGTCCCGAGTGTTTGCTTACTTTTTCCTCTCAGATTTGAATGGATCTTCTGGATGGCCGATCATGCTGAAATGGGAAGTGATTAGGCACAAAGGAGCAAAGTCAACGTTACTGGTACGAGGGGTGAAACCATTTATTCCTGGTGCCCAGAGAAAAATAGGGTATTCAGAGTGGGGATAGGGCAGTGGTCAAAGACGTCACATCAATTATCCAAGATCTGATCAGGATCTGATCAGGTTCAGACGAACCAGATACTCTGTCTCATTGATATTTATTAGTTTCTAAAGAACTTTTCTAGTAAGACAGCCCTTCGGGAGTTTCTTTGTCCATCTATTGCAGGGGTGAGTAATCCCGTAGAACCCTGTTATTCCTCGGAATAATGTCGTTTCCAGGGGCAAGTTTTATGTATGGCGCATGCTGGCCGTTTGACTTGAAATTTTTCATGGAAGCTTACAATTCGTCAAGGAACAGCCTCTGACGGTGCTTCGTTGATTCCAGCAATTTGATGTCGTCCTTAGTCAATGAGAAGTCGAACAACTGCAAAAAATACATTCACGTAGTGTGGATGGCTGGTAGGAACATGAGATTCACCTTGAAATTCTCGGCTACTCGAGCGGGCTTGACAGACTTGGGTATAATTGCGATTCCTCGATCCATTACGTAGCGCAGCAAAATCTGAATCAATCCTCTTCTATATATTGTAGTGAATGGTGTATTAATATATTTTATTAACAATCAGCAGCAAAAATAAAAATGAAAGCAATGTTCCTATAAAAATGATAATAATAGGCAATAACAATGATGATGATCATAACAGTAGTGATGCCTAAAGGAAATAATATTGGAAGCTAGAAACTTAAGATAACATTAAGCAAGGGTGGGTTGTCTTACCTGTGCAGGGGTTTTTGAATATTTTTGTGCAAGCTTTTTCACATTTGGATCTTCGAGATCATTTGGTGCATCATACCATCCGAATTTACTGAAAATGGATTAACTTTCGTCTTCCTTTCCGAACTCTCTCTTTTCAAGGAGAAAGAAGTTGAATGAAATAGTTATTGGGAGGAGAAAGCGAGTCAAACCATCCGCTGCACATCACTCACTGCTGTAGTCTCGGAGCTCTGAGGGCTTAGCACCTGCAGCTCAGTGGCCCCTCTCATAGAATCCTCTTTAGGTTTCTAATTACACTCTATCACCAAGAGAGGCCTCTTGAAAGACGTCCCTTGGAAGAGTGAGCCATGCCGATCAATGTGTAATAGCAAAGTTCCTAATACTTTCTGCCATTACCGTATATCCGTAATATGTGACCATGGCAGTCTGCAATCCCAACGGAACCTTATCAATGTCTGATACAACTCATTAGGGGAAAATGNACGGGGATGAGAGGGGGAGAGAGGGGTTCCAAGAAAAAAAAAACGCGACATAAAAATTCTTTAGTTTTTTTGCGACCATAGTGGCACCATAAAATACCTTTTTTTGCTCAGAAAATACGATTCCTGCACTTTCCTATCAATGTACACTATCGACTTATAAAATTTAATTTCCTTCACCTTTACTACATATACTGGAGATAATTCGTCATGGATGTGTGTTCGATTTTGAGCCCGCATCTCTGTTTCCCCGTAAACAGCGCCCCTACCCAATGCACTTGTCGTGACTTTTGTTAGTGATGGATGAGGGTTACCATAGCTTTACAATGAGGCATACAGCTGTCGTACAGCGGTCGCTAGCTGATTTTCGTTCTCTTAGTTTTACAGCTTAAAAAAGACAGCGTCAAGTAAAAATATAGTAGGTTCCACGTTTCTAGCCCTAAAGTCAGGTATTCAGCGCCAAAGGCCAAAGGAAAGAAAAGTACCCTCCCATGAACAGTTGGGTGCTGACATGTGTAAAATATTTCCCATTCATTTTTTGGAATTCATGGTAGTAATAAATCTGCACAACTAACCTGCACAAAATCAGTAAAATATGTTTGGCTGCGATACCTTCAGAACAAAGCAACAAAAATGTATTTACAAAACCAAATACTCGGCCCAGCTTACTATATTTGGCATAACATTCGCATCGAGCAGCGTGGCATAAGGCATGACGCATCGGCAGTTGGCAAAAGCAAATCAAATATTCGTTGGAAACTGGCGAAAGTTTGGAATGTAGATGAGGTGAGGAAGGAAAGTATTTATAAGCTTAGGCTCTAATGGCGGAACCCTAAAACAGGGATCGATATCTATTTATTCGTTTGGAACGGCCGTGTTCGATCTGAATATAACCCAAGAAGTATTTGGTTGGCTTGAAGGGTTTTTGTATGCCTTTGTGTTCCTCATTCTTTTTGGAAGTCAAATAAACATCGGGCGGGGGAGACTCTTTTACGAAGGAAAGTTCAGAAAGAGTGACGACATCAGGGTGACATACGTGCTCTACAACTAGGTGCTCTACTACCCACATGTATATCGATTATTCAAGCGGGCCCAGATATTCCTCACTTTTCCTACTCGGAATCTACGGAAGGAGCAGTATTTATTCAAACTCTCTTGATGGATAAAATTACTGCACTACTGTTTCTGTACACTACTTACTGTTTCTCCATCGAATACCTTTGTTCATCCGGATTGAAATTGGGAGCCGAACGAATTTTACGTAGACTTTTTTAGGGTATGCAAAAACAGCTCCCAGGAAACTTCCAGTTGGTTTCTGACCTCATTAATGTACCTTATGACTCTGAACTTTTCAGTACCAGTTTGTAACAAGCAGGTATCGATTACGATACCGACATTCGGTGCTGTCGCTAACACAACTCGATTTGCTTGCACCTAGGGATCAGGTTATTCCCGAGGCTTTTTCGCCCACTAAGACATAAAACTTGCTCGGTTAAACGGGTGTGGTATTTTCCACATGAAAATCGCAACGCACCCAGTCGCGCATTTTGAAGGGAATGGTTCCAGTTTCCAGTGGAAGGATACAGTAGTCGCCGCAGAACCTTTGCTGCTAGCCGTGGGAATTCAGGGAGAAATACCGCCACTTCAGTCAAACAACCTCGTTGATGGATTCTTGATGTCACTTCTTGCATGATGCCACTGCTTTTACGACAATGTATCCATCATTTACAGAAATTCGATGATTGTGGTGGAGGGGCGCGGGCCTAAGAAGGCATCCGAGAAGGCAATTGGACATGCAGGACTATGGTCTATGAACACGGTGTTTTGTCCACTTTGCCGCTTTATCCAACGTTCCCGCACTTACCCTCAAGGGGTCTCATCATAACTCTTCCGACGTTGTGGATAGTACCTCTACCTATCTGTTGCATTACCTAAGCCTTGCACCATACCTCAAAGAATAAGGCACAACTTAGTCCGTTACTATGGAGTAGGGCTCAAATATGATGCATACTTACTCGGGCATGAATTTGGCTCGTCCCGGAGATCCTAGAGAGGCATATGATGTAAGGGAAACGTTGTGTTTCTTGCAGACTTCGTGTAGTTCGTGTTGAGGCCAGTAGAGGTGAAGCTCCACCTGAAATGAACCAGTGACTTAGTAATCGTTCGAATTTGGATTTTCAAAAACTCTCGCAGAAGAGTACCTGGCAGTTATGAATTGGTACAGAAGCGACTTTCATAACGCTCTCGATTTGATCGCCATTCCAGTTCGATACGCCGATTGCTCTAGTCAGTCCCTTCTTGTAGACACGTTCCAATCCACCCCATATATCCTTTACAGTCACCGATTTATTTTGTTGAGTCATGTCATGCTGAAATGGTATGGGAGTTGTCGGGATGACATATGCAACAGCGTCAAGAAAATAGAATCTCATCGGGGTTGGTTTATCAGGATTAAAGGCACAGTTCACGATAACCATGGTTTCTGAGATTCTCCTATGGTATGAAATCGAGGCTCCCCCTTATACCGTACCTGCCGTTATAAGGTCGAAAAACGTGCTCAATAGTGCATAATAAGGGGCCAGAGATTGTATCGTGTGAATGCTACACACATGATGAACGAGTTTCAAAGGCTTTGTAAAGGCTGCACTATCTCAATGAATTCCCATGTAGGAAGTACAAACTACTTTCATAACCCATTGCGACAGTGAAAGGCGTTTCGAACAATTCCGGCTTGATGTAGTCATCTCTTTGCGCAATGGGAGCAAGTTAAAACTCGTCCAAACACCCCTTGCGCGCCATTCCCGTCACGGTGATCTCGTACAACCTCCACTTCCACTACTTTTAAAAGGCCTTGAAGGAAGCGGATTCTTATATGCTTTCTTTGCTGCCGATTTACTTCTNTTGTGGACTGTTCCTTTAAAATAGCATAACCATTTCGGAGACAATTTTCGTCGTTAACTGTGCTCTTAAGGTATAGGTTTCTGTACTCATTGTGAGTTCCTTAATCTCAAAGCACAATGCTGTAGTTGGCTGAACTTTCTCAACAATAACGTGCACGGAAGCCTTATTTTGAGGCTTGTTCAAGTTTTTGCGTTGTTCTGTCCCTATCGCAACTCCTCAGCGTAGCAACTTCCGCACTCGAGACGAAGCTGTCTATCTTATCTGCTTTGTTTTGCACAGGCACAAGAAAAAGTGTGAACAGTCGCTGTTGGCTCCTTCATGTTTCGTTCTTTCATCGGTAATCGTTCTCTAAACACAACAGACGCCACACAAATCGTTTTCTTCTGACAACTTAGAGGACAACAAATACCAGGAATCACTGACGTATGTAGAACACTGGTAAAGCGTTCCTTCCCTCCCACGGACGTTGTTAAACTGGTGTTAACCTAGTGAACATGAGCTCGGCCTCACAAATCACTAAAAGAAATGGATTCTCAAATTGGTTCTGGAACATTTTGTAAAAGTAATTCTTGCAAGAATTTCCCACTAAAGTAAGCTCCTTCGAATTTCGGAGGGCGGATGGGTCTAACTTTTAAAGTTTGGAGTGCGGACGGGTGGTTTTCAACTTGGCTAGTTGTCTTGCTGCGTTCCATGCCTTAGATGGTTGTCTTAGCTAGTTGTCTTGTTACGCTTCATGTGCTCCAAGAATAAGGCAGGGGTCGAGATCTGCAAGATACTCACATTGAAGCAAGTCGGCATATGGGCTAGCAGGAGATCAACATAGTTCATTTGAAGGCGTTTCAAAGAGGCTTGAATGGATGGCTCGATGTCGTCCGGGTGCAAGTGAGTGACCCAAACCTAAAAAGAACCGTTTTGCATGATTGTAAAGTGCAAAGTGATACTACAGTGTAGCGCACCTTTGTGGTAATGAAGATTTCAGGGCGAGATATTTTTCCGGCATCGATCATTCCCTTAATAACTTCACCAATTGAATCTTCATTTTCATAAACAGCAGCCGTGTCGATCAATTTATATCCACCCTCGAGAGCAGTTTTCACTGCAGCTTTCACTTCTTCAGGAGAGGACTGAAATGAGTGGTAAATGAAAAAGTCATCTTTTCAATCATACTTTCCCTTGGAAGCCAATGACAATAGGCAGTGAAGGGGTCCAACGACTAGCTTGACCTTCGCAAGAAATCAGGCAATCAATGCGTCATCAGGCGACGGAAGAAGGATTTATACAACAGTGTGGGATATATCGGCTATTTTAGTATTCTGACGCTCCCTATCCCTTTTTTGAAGCGATATTGAGATCGAGCGATATTCTTGCAATATTGAGATTGAGGGCGTCATTGGTCGAGATAGCGAGTAGAACTAGGTCCCCACCCATGCTCATTGTTCCGATGAGTTAAGGGCTTTTTCCTCATCATTTCCTCAAGTCCCTTCATTCCCTCCTTCACGAAGACGAAGTTGGATAAGAGGTGGCCCTTCAATTATACGTTGATCTGTCTTAGGATAACAGTAAGGTTCCGTATGTTCGCGTGGCCTCCTGTCCGGTTCTGGTTTATAGCAATCAAGGCATCCTTCATTTTGTTCACTAGGTGGAGCCATTTTTGTTAAGGGCCTTTGAATGGAGTGCCGATGTACTGCAGGGCATTGTACGGGGCGAAAGTCTTGTTTTTGCCTTTTTAATATTAAACGAGAACCGAATATGGGCGTATGAAGGCCTAGTTAGCTCACCTGCCATGTTCCCAGCCCAACTTGTGGCATAGTTGTACCATTGGAAAGTTTGATCAGTGGTTGTTCAGCGGCTGCCGTTGCCTGAAAAGGACTTGACTCATATTTATCATGACATCAGGTAAGATCAGGTCCAATCGTACCTTGAGAGATCAGCATCTGGGATATTTATTTATTTATTTATTTATACACTCAACTGAAATGATTACATTGTACAGCTTTGGGTGAAGGGATGCATCATTTAATTTTGGAAAGTGAGTTGACATAAAAATAGGTGTTTTTTGATTTCCAGATTTTATGATTGATAGGTTTCACCAGATGCCAATAGTTGAACTGCTGTCATTATGTTAGGTACAGTTCCTAAGGCATAATAATATTTTGTCGGAGTTCAAATTCAACAGCTGTCACGTTATTAATCATGATCATGGCGTGATTACTCCAGTTGTGTACCTGTTAGGTGACCATAAAGCGTCCGATGGAACTTTCCGCCTGTCACATGGAACTGTTGATGTATCGACCACCTTGTGCGGAACTAACGTGGGGTCGCCAGGATTTCAGAAGGATGATGGGTTTTCCGCTTTGGGTGATGGGTCAAGTAAAATGACTGACCGTTCCTGGCTTTGTCAAAAAGGAAATCATTAAGTTCTTAAGAAGATTCGCTGGACTGCTCCTACGTTCTATGACCATGAGTTAGGGCTAACTCATCCGGAGAACAGGCTGAGAACAAAGATTCTTGGCTATGGGTATCGATGAGGTTGGGGTGTATTGGTATAGGGACTATACTGGGATCTGTTGTGGGGATTGCGATGTGCCGTAGAAACTAATGAGATGGACTCTTAAATGGACATCGGCTTTCTCGTCGTATGTTCCTATTATCCACTATGAATCAAACAGTGTGTAAGTCGTCCGAAAGTTAGCAGTGGACAGGCTTAATTTCATGTTTGAAAGTCACCATTCATACTATCATTCACCTAACCAGTACAATCGTTTATGCTTTGACTGTCAAAGTGCATGGCTTCTACTTCCCATTTACTCTTGTGCAGCTATTATTTGAAGACGTGCTGTTCTTTTCAGCAATACTACCCTTTTCAAAACCCCGCTTCAAAAAGTTCAGATTTCAGGGGTCAGTCAGTCTATAGGTCGTCCGGTCTCTGTATAAAGACTTACCAGTAATCGATGAGCATTTTGGAAGATTCGAGAAGCGATTCGAGAGGTGCTGAGCATTGATGGAGCCATAATTCACGAACGGACTGTCTGCTTCCCTGAAATGGAGCAATTGGGACGATGACATCGAAAGAGACTGTTTTTTGAGAGGTCTCAGCAGTGGAAGAGATAAGGAACTCGGAGCTGGGGAAGCCCCATTCGATCCTATCCGAGATCTACTGTTAGCGTTCAGGAGTTGTGAGATCATTTAGTATCCTTGTGAGACCACTGAGTTAGTGATCTCACACGGCCACTTGCCGACTAGGGAATATTGTTCTCAGTTGTCAATAAGGAAAAAAAGAAACCGAATATGAGAAAACCAGAAAAACGTATCGGCAGGAAATCAGAAACATCTGAAATCTTCATGGAACTCATAAAGAGGAGGATCAAATGAAATATGCATCTGCTTCAGCTGATTCTCTCAGACAGCAAACGGTGAGCAGTGCTTGATGGCTTGTAACCGCCCAATCGCTGAATTGATGGCTGGCAAAGAGAGGCCGCTACTTTGTTTTATGCTTTAAAATTAATGGTGTTTGATATGAGGACGAACTGAGGAATTCGAGGAGGTGAGGGAGCTTGGGGAGAACTTGCGGCATGACACATCTATCACGCCTAGCTGAGCTCGTAGGCAAGCGAGCCAGCCTACCTGCCGAACAGATTTGAATGGATGGGAATCGCTCAGATACTAAAAATTAATCCGAAATCAGGCATGTTAGTGTAGACTTGGGAGACCTTTGGGTTACCCAGTTTATACCGTTTCTGAATTTGCTTGGACTCTGCTCTACAGATGAGTCGGGCGGCATGTTGGAATTTCGAGGGAGCCAAAATCGTCAGAGTGGTCATTCCGTAAAAACGACAAACAGGAGGGAAGTTGACTCGATGGAAAAATTCGGGTGTAGTCGACTACCTCTACTTCACCAGCTAAGATGGTCGGTTGCTGATAAGGATTGCAGGGTGTCCAGTATTACTACTCGGAGTTCTTACACTATCGAATTGTGAATCGAGCTTGATTTAATGTAAAGAAAATGGCAGAACACGTCCTGAGGAACACAACTAGAAAAACCGTCCAAGAAATGTAGTCGGCACTGTGGAGCGAAAACAGAGAAAAAGCCTCAGATAGGTCTTCGAAAAAAGTGGCACGAAATCATCTAATTTGATAGACGGCGAAACTTGGCTTTTTATATGGGAAACGACGGGAATGAGAAGGCTATCACTACTGTCTAGAAATGTTTCAGTTAATGTGATTATCACAGAAATAAATGAAGAGAAAGACCGCCTCGTGGGGGTAGTCATCAATTCAGAATCATGTACTTTCCCGACAAAACAACGAATGGAATTTGATCAGCCAGGGTAATACAGCCAGCCGCCAAGTGGCAGTGGGGCGGTAAACTTCGACCATCTGGCTTGGGGAGGGCATTCGAAGGCATTATATATATTGGACTGAAGGTGGTACCAAAAACATTATAGAAAGCAGTTGGCGCCGTTACACCCCAAAATCAATAACGGTAGTAAAAAGTTGTAGTCATAGAGGAAGCAGATGACATCTTGAACATAAAAAACACTGGAGAGGATAAAGGAGAGCAGCCGATATCGGTCAGTTCGCCTGAAAGTGTCTTAGATCGTTTCGGTCATGGATACAATCGAATACCATGTACTTTGCTCTTTCATGGACAACTGGCGTTCTCTAGTGTTGTTGAAGTTTACGGAACAGACTGATCCGGTGTCGTTGGATCAACTCCCCTGTAGAACTCTCCTACAGTTAAGGGAGCGAGCGGTTTGGATTGGATTTGGACCTTTGACAACGGGTCCGGGCTAACTTCTCTTTCTCTTCTTCCTTTCAACTTCCTCCTTTTTCCATTTGGGGGAG